GCGTATATACGCGATCTAAACGGTCGTATATATGAGCTTAAAGCCCATACGTAACGTATGTAAACAAGTATACGCGGCAGAAAAACCCGCGCATACCATGTCGTAATTTTGAAACAAATGGCCAACCATAGGTAATACCCTTGACGATCACTTCCGTTTTCACCCAGTTTCAAATGGTATACACTGGCTTCATCGTTAAATGAGCAAACCCTCTCTAACCTCCATCCCCTGCCCCCCCCCCCCCACTCCCCCACACACACGAACTATGGCGACACACCCACTCCACTTCAAACACCAATACTGGGATTGATTAGCAACTTTATTTACACATGTTTTCTTTGGATAAAACATTAAAATATTTACAATAAAGTGTATCGTGCGGAAAAACAATTGACACGCTTTAAGTGTATATAAGGGGTGCAAAAAGCGATAAGGAGTTGTGGAGCGATTTTCGATTGACTTCTGAAAGAGATGTCTTACTGAAATCTATGATTGGTTAAACGTATCAAAGGAATTTTGTTTTGACCAATGAGAGCACACAAGTTTTCTGCCTTGTCAATCGACCTTGCGCATGTTTTCCCGCCCTTGGTACTGTGAAAAGTTTGTGCATCACAGCAGCTTTTCAATGGACTTCAGACTTTGATAGGATCGCGGTTTACATTTCCTTTCATTTCCTTTCTTCAAAATGCGCAAATATTACGGGAAAACTATAGAAAAATCTCCGATGTATATAACCTTACCAAGAGCTTCGTTCACAAAATCGCTATACCAGATTCTTCCAATTTAACCATACGCACTTATAAAACGACGCTAGTAACAGAGTTGACCTTCATCGAGATAGGCCCTGTTTACAGTTACTCAATACACTGTGAGGATCAGTTTATGACTATGGTCTGAGTTTGCCGGTTGAACAGCTCAAGTGTAATGCTGCTTAAGAAGGCAGGAATGGAGTTGTATCTGCTCAAGTAGGTCTCTATTTGATCCGCTAACTGAGAAGAGAAATCTGTAGCCAGAAGCATCATTTCACCCTTAGAGCTACTCTGAAAAACAAGAGGGCCAAAAGTCAACATTGTTAGGGACTGAAAAGTCCAACTATACACACCTTGTAAGAAACACCGACAAACGGTTTTCAGTATTTTTTGTTTTGTTTTTTTGTATTGAAACTTATTTTTCAACAGCAAGTACTACACATTAACCTGCCAGCTCTCCGGATTCTTATGGTTAAACCAGAAGTTATTTTGCGTGGAATTTTGCAATGTTGCAGCGTTATGTTCCAATATTGATGGACAGTTTGCTCAAAGCAACTTGCAACTTTCAATTCAATTTGCTCGACCAAGCTCCAAAGTAACGTTTGAATTTGACAAGTTTGGGTTTCATAATGAAATAATACCAATTCTATGTCAAAAGGAGGGATAATAATTGACCTATAGGGTCCTATGGTCTACTGTTCAGTAACAACACACTGTCAGGGTTGAATTGAAATCGCCAAACTCGGAATCCCGCTTCAAATTTAAATTTTCTCTTGCAGCTTCCTTCAATATGCGGACGGGTCTTAAGGCCCTCCATACTTATTATCCAATCAGAGGATGAACACTGGCGCTCACAATCTCCCGTTACCACGTAAATGTGACGTCATCAAGATACGTCACGTAACTTAGCAACACCTCTTGAAAACAACACGCACGTCCCGTCGACAACACGACAGACCTAGTCATCACAAGCGGTTGACTAGAGATGAGTTGAAAACACGGTCAGTTGTAGAACTTACTTCAAATAACAGATCGTCTGTGGATCTCTCAGCATACATGGACTGAAGCCGATACTGATTATCTCGTATAACGTCGATCTTGAATCCTGTTAACGCATAACAAGCCTCGCGAAACTCTTGGATCTTCTTCTTGAAAACCTGAAAATGAAATGTCACGTAAGACGCTGCTACGTTGGCAGTGTGTCACACAACTTGCGTTATAGTTTTTTTTTTAACTCAACCTCAGCTTCAACTTCACTTTATTTTGCATTTAAATTTTGAAATTACAATATTAGCATAAAAAAGAAAAAAGATACATATATAACAATTAAAGGTGACAATGGTATATAGCTTGTGCATGGAGGCTAATAGAACCGCGAGGTTATCGAGTCCGCCATCTTGTTTTACTGTATCGAGGAGGTATGGAACCAAAAACAAGGCAATTATCTATTTTGCGCATGCCTAGGTACTTGTGCTCGTTTTGTGGACGTCCTTGTACCTATGCTTTTGCTTATGTCGTAGTGAAAACCACACACTTTCTGTGCTGTACTACAGTAAACTCATAAAACCTGTAAAACTCACCTATGACGCCGGTAAAGCAAAGAAAACAAACCAAGATGTACCACAAGAAAACAGCACCAGAACAAGGGAACACTAACGTGAGCCCGTAACATAGCTATTTTACCTCTTTTAATCGCTGATTTTTCATCTCTGCTGATGAGAGCTGAGCTTTGAAATCTGTCGAGAAAATCCCACAAAATCAGAATGAAATTCTGTTTCAGACAAGCATGGAACGGACTCCAGTGGTAACTGCAAGACCTACCAAACATTCCTAACAAACAGAATGCAATAATTACAGAACCTAGCTATACAGGACAACACTTAACACGGGTACAAAGGTGCGTCAAACTCACCAGGGGATGACACAATAGTGAAGGGAAAGGAATTAAGAAGGGCATTATTAAACGTGCTCAGTAACAGTAGTTTTACTTATATTGGTCACGTACGAAATTACCTTCAAATTGAACGAAACCTGAAAATAACAGTTTACTAAGATAGAAGAACACCAAAGAGGTAGTAATAAACCATATAGGAACAAGGATGGTTAAGGATGGAGAAGATTAACACGGATTACAGACGACAAACTTGAAAAAATTTAGCTTCTTTAAGGAGACCCGCATGCAGACTGACCTTCCACTTGCTTCACCACACTTGGTCCGGCCTCAGGACTGAGCTTGCTAAGAACACTGACATCCTCCGGGCTGCAGCCTCCCTCCTCTAGAAGTTGCAGTCTCCTCCTAAGAGAATCATTCTCCTTCCTCAGTTTCTCTAGCTCCTCTCCACGCTGCTGTTTGGCAATGCTGGATGGATTCATTGACAGATGGATGATCTTGGTTTTGGTAGGGTCGTAGTAACCCTGCAGTAACAAACACGTAAAAGTGCAGTTAGTTCGGTTTAAGCAAACAGTCGTAAATTTACCCGAAGAGTTTCCGAATTTTTTTATCGACCAATCATACGATGGAACGAGTAAGAGAGTATGTAACGTCATTTGGCAACCTGTCCGACGGAACTTTCGAACCCATTTAACTCCCAGAGACAACTCCCAGAGACGGGATTCTGATGGAATCTTACAAGAGCACATGTTTAATCAATGAGTGAAGTTTACAATGTATACATTCAACTGCACAGACGCTCGCTTATGTACGACGCCAACTACTCAGCTTTCCATCATTTCGGATAGGTGCAAATCATATTCGATTAGACTATATCTGTAGTTAGCACTGTAGTACTACTTAGTAAAATTATTTGCCTCAAGAACACTGATTTTGTCATGTGTAATGTCTTGTCATAAGACGTTGTTTGGTAAAGTGCGGTAAACGGATGCAGATGTTCTGAAAAGGGAATCACTCGCAGCCAAAATGGGANCTCCCAGAGACGGGATTCTGATGGAATCTTACAAGAGCACGTGTTTAATCAATGAGTGAAGTTTACAATGTACACATTAAACTGCACAGACGCTCGCTTATGTACGACGCCAACAACTCAGCTCTCCATCATTTGGGACAGGTGCAAATCATATTCGATTAGACTATATCTGTAGTTAGCACTGTAGTACTTAGTCAAATTATTTGCCTCAAGAACACTGATTTTGTCACGTGTAATGTCTTGTCATAAGAGGTTGTTTGGTAAAGTGCGGTAAACGGATGCAGATGTTCTGAAAAGGGAATCACTCGCAGCCAAAATGGGACAATTACTGTTTACAAAATAGGGGACGGGGTGGGGGTGTGGGCTTGGGCATAATTTTTTCGTCGTTTTTATACGCCATAAAATTTTTCAGCATAAACGGGGCACCGTTGGCTTCTTTTTCTACATTATTCATTTGCACTTTAATGTTCATAAGCTTGACTCCCGGCTACATAGAGCGGTTTACAATTGTGTGTCGTAAAACCGAAACCAGAGTAGCGCGGGAAAACGAGTGCTAGTAAGTTATAATTGGTTAAAAACGTGGCGCGAAGTTTTTAAGCCAATCGTGCAGCGGAGTTGACGCAAAACCAATTACTTTTCAACACTCGAATGAAAATCGTTCTAATCTCGGAGTTCTTTTATCATACCCGCATGTGCATTTGTTCTTTGTTGATTTCGTGGATCTCAAGCTGCTCCTGTAGCTTGGTATTCTCCGCTCGTAGTTTTTCCATTTCGGTTCTGCAGAGTAAAACATCACCATGACCATCAAATCACGCAGCAAGTGTTTAATTATGGCAGTTCAGACCTCACCTAAGATTTTCAGTAAAGACAACTTTTACAACTGTACAGAACAAATCAGCATTTTAGTGACTTGCTTGTCCTCTCTCCTGAATCAAAGATTTCAATGCCTGAAAATCACTCAAGAGAGACAGGTGGCTCTGGGGACGAGAATGTTTTCTCGCGGGTTTCAACTCTAATTTTGGGACTTACCTTAAGGCAGCATCATCAGTTTTCATCGGAGTTTGCTTGGTTGCCTTCTCACGTAGTTCACTAATTTCAACCTCAAGCTATAAAAAAACAATTACGAAAAGCGTTCAAAATAAGGTTGAGATGTTCTGAGATTGGTAAGTTTTATGTGTTCACCTTCCTTTTCTTCCCATGGCACTTGCAGGCGCGGATGCTTTACAGGCAACATATGACAAGCTAGGAACTGTATACATCACGGGGTAGATCGGTTGAGTTCTAACCCATGTTTATGTATTGGTGATTGTCTGATCATTTTCCCGGTTACTAAAGGAGTCAGGTACTGTTTTACACAATACAATAACAAATACATACTTTATTGCACTTGAGTTTCTCCCTACTTGCTTGCTCTGCCTTCTGGTTTAACTCAAGCTATAGGAAAAAAAGCAAAGTCAAAAAAATTTCTTGGGTTCTTCAAGTCCATCGTGTGATACATACACTTTACTTTCACAGTGGTGCAGATGATGATCAGTTAAACAGAGAAAACGTTAGTCGTAAGTTACGNGTTGATTTCGTGGATCTCAAGCTGCTCCTGTAGCTTGGTATTCTCCGCTCGTAGTTTTTCCATTTCGGTTCTGCAGAGTAAAACATCACCATGACCATCAAATCACGCAGCAAGTGTTTACTTATGGCAGTTCAGACCTCACTTAAGATTTTCAGTAAAGACGACTTTTACAACTGTACAGAACAAATCAGCATTTTAGTGACTTGCTTGTCCTCTCTCCTAAATCAAAGATTTCAATGCCTGAAATGTCACTCATTCTCCACCCGTAGTTCATTTCTCGCGGATTTAGAACTGTTTGGATTGGTTCCAGACACTGCCCTTGCTTTCAAGCAGGTGTTTCACCTGACTTCACGCAAGAGCTTACCCCATAGCGTGTTCGAGGATTACAGACAAGATAAACGTAACGCCTATCACGATGTAGGGGAATGTAACTTGCGTTAGAAACCAATCAGAACTTGAAGCAAAAAGCGACAAAAATCGTAACTGGCGGCAAAAATGAATGGCGGAGTGAAACCAACGTTGCATCAGTGAAAACCTTAGTCCAAGATTCTAACCAATCAAATCATGTGTCTTTAGAGCCACCTTTCCCTCGTACCAAGCCGCTGCCAGCTAAGAGTGACAGGTGGCTCTGGGGACGAAAATGTTTTCTCGTGGGTTTCAACTCTGATTTGGGGACTTACCTCAAGGCAGAGTCATCAGTTTTCATTGGAGTTTGCTTGGTTGCCTTCTCACGCAGTTCAGTAATTTCAACCTCCAGCTATAAAAAACAAAAACAATTACGAAAAGCGTTCAATATAAGATTGAGATGTTCTGACATTGGTAAGTTCTATGTGTTGACCTTCCTTTTCCTCCCATGGCACTTGCAGGCGCGGATGCTTTACAGGCAACACGTGACAAGCTAGGAACTGCACACATCACTGGGTAGATCGGTTGAGTTCTAACCCATGTTTATGTATTGGTGATTGTTTGATCATTTTCCCGGTTATTAAAGGAGTCAGGTACTGTTTCACACAATACAATAACAACTACATACTTTATTGCATTTGAGTTTCTCCCTGCTTACTTTCTCTGCCTTCTGGTTTAACTCACGCTATAGGAAAAAAAGCAAAGTCAAAAAAATTTCTTGGGTTCTTCAAGTCCATTGTGTAATATATACACTTTACTTTCACAGTGGTGCAGATGATGATCAGTTAAACAGAGAAAAAGTTAGTCGTAAGTTACGTAGAAACATCCGCAAATCCTTTCAACTTTTCACTGCAATGGAAACACATCACCAGAAGTGTAAAACACCAAATTTACATCTACTCACCTCAAGAGCTTCTATGTGTTCATGGCATGTTTTGAGACGAGCTTCAGCCTGTTAAGAAGAGAGAATTTACGCAGTCAGCTTAAAAGTACAACGATAGAATTCCAATCACTCAAACCCCAACAACTCAGGTATCCATAAGTTCCAGTGTGCTCATGAAGCTCAAACTCCAATACCTTGTGATGTAAGGTACAGAACCAAGGATACATGTATATGTTCTGTTGCATGTACTTAGCAACCTTGTCTTAAAGTAGGATGCCAGTGGTACAGCAGGGGTTTCATTAAGGGCCGGGCNAATACCAATTCTATGTCAAAAGGAGGGATAATAATTGACCTATAGGGTCCTATGGTCTACTGTTCAGTAACAACACACTGTCAGGGTTGAATTGAAATCGCCAAACTCGGAATCCCGCTTCAAATTTAAATTTTCTCTTGCAGCTTCCTTCAATATGCGGACGGGTCTTAAGGCCCTCCATACTTATTATCCAATCAGAGGATGAACACTGGCGCTCACAATCTCCCGTTACCACGTAAATGTGACGTCATCAAGATACGTCACGTAACTTAGCAACACCTCTTGAAAACAACACGCACGTCCCGTCGACAACACGACAGACCTAGTCATCACAAGCGGTTGACTAGAGATGAGTTGAAAACACGGTCAGTTGTAGAACTTACTTCAAATAACAGATCGTCTGTGGATCTCTCAGCATACATGGACTGAAGCCGATACTGATTATCTCGTATAACGTCGATCTTGAATCCTGTTAACGCATAACAAGCCTCGCGAAACTCTTGGATCTTCTTCTTGAAAACCTGAAAATGAAATGTCACGTAAGACGCTGCTACGTTGGCAGTGTGTCACACAACTTGCGTTATAGTTTTTTTTTTAACTCAACCTCAGCTTCAACTTCACTTTATTTTGCATTTAAATTTTGAAATTACAATATTAGCATAAAAAAGAAAAAAGATACATATATAACAATTAAAGGTGACAATGGTATATAGCTTGTGCATGGAGGCTAATAGAACCGCGAGGTTATCGAGTCCGCCATCTTGTTTTACTGTATCGAGGAGGTATGGAACCAAAAACAAGGCAATTATCTATTTTGCGCATGCCTAGGTACTTGTGCTCGTTTTGTGGACGTCCTTGTACCTATGCTTTTGCTTATGTCGTAGTGAAAACCACACACTTTCTGTGCTGTACTACAGTAAACTCATAAAACCTGTAAAACTCACCTATGACGCCGGTAAAGCAAAGAAAACAAACCAAGATGTACCACAAGAAAACAGCACCAGAACAAGGGAACACTAACGTGAGCCCGTAACATAGCTATTTTACCTCTTTTAATCGCTGATTTTTCATCTCTGCTGATGAGAGCTGAGCTTTGAAATCTGTCGAGAAAATCCCACAAAATCAGAATGAAATTCTGTTTCAGACAAGCATGGAACGGACTCCAGTGGTAACTGCAAGACCTACCAAACATTCCTAACAAACAGAATGCAATAATTACAGAACCTAGCTATACAGGACAACACTTAACACGGGTACAAAGGTGCGTCAAACTCACCAGGGGATGACACAATAGTGAAGGGAAAGGAATTAAGAAGGGCATTATTAAACGTGCTCAGTAACAGTAGTTTTACTTATATTGGTCACGTACGAAATTACCTTCAAATTGAACGAAACCTGAAAATAACAGTTTACTAAGATAGAAGAACACCAAAGAGGTAGTAATAAACCATATAGGAACAAGGATGGTTAAGGATGGAGAAGATTAACACGGATTACAGACGACAAACTTGAAAAAATTTAGCTTCTTTAAGGAGACCCGCATGCAGACTGACCTTCCACTTGCTTCACCACACTTGGTCCGGCCTCAGGACTGAGCTTGCTAAGAACACTGACATCCTCCGGGCTGCAGCCTCCCTCCTCTAGAAGTTGCAGTCTCCTCCTAAGAGAATCATTCTCCTTCCTCAGTTTCTCTAGCTCCTCTCCACGCTGCTGTTTGGCAATGCTGGATGGATTCATTGACAGATGGATGATCTTGGTTTTGGTAGGGTCGTAGTAACCCTGCAGTAACAAACACGTAAAACTGCAGTTAGTTCGGTTTAAGCAAACAGTCGCAAATTTACCCGAAGAGTTTCCGAATTTTTTATCGACCAATCATAAGATAGTACAAGTAAGAGAGTATGTAACGTCACTTAGAAACCTGTCCGACGGAACTTTCGAGCTCATTTAACTCCCAGAGACAACTCCCAGAGACGGGATTCTGATGGAATCTTACAAGAGCACGTGTTTAATCAATGAGTGAAGTTTACAATGTACACATTAAACTGCACAGACGCTCGCTTATGTACGACGCCAACAACTCAGCTCTCCATCATTTGGGACAGGTGCAAATCATATTCGATTAGACTATATCTGTAGTTAGCACTGTAGTACTTAGTCAAATTATTTGCCTCAAGAACACTGATTTTGTCACGTGTAATGTCTTGTCATAAGAGGTTGTTTGGTAAAGTGCGGTAAACGGATGCAGATGTTCTGAAAAGGGAATCACTCGCAGCCAAAATGGGACAATTACTGTTTACAAAATAGGGGACGGGGTGGGGGTGTGGGCTTGGGCATAATTTTTTCGTCGTTTTTATACGCCATAAAATTTTTCAGCATAAACGGGGCACCGTTGGCTTCTTTTTCTACATTATTCATTTGCACTTTAATGTTCATAAGCTTGACTCCCGGCTACATAGAGCGGTTTACAATTGTGTGTCGTAAAACCGAAACCAGAGTAGCGCGGGAAAACGAGTGCTAGTAAGTTATAATTGGTTAAAAACGTGGCGCGAAGTTTTTAAGCCAATCGTGCAGCGGAGTTGACGCAAAACCAATTACTTTTCAACACTCGAATGAAAATCGTTCTAATCTCGGAGTTCTTTTATCATACCCGCATGTGCATTTGTTCTTTGTTGATTTCGTGGATCTCAAGCTGCTCCTGTAGCTTGGTATTCTCCGCTCGTAGTTTTTCCATTTCGGTTCTGCAGAGTAAAACATCACCATGACCATCAAATCACGCAGCAAGTGTTTAATTATGGCAGTTCAGACCTCACCTAAGATTTTCAGTAAAGACAACTTTTACAACTGTACAGAACAAATCAGCATTTTAGTGACTTGCTTGTCCTCTCTCCTGAATCAAAGATTTCAATGCCTGAAAATCACTCAAGAGAGACAGGTGGCTCTGGGGACGAGAATGTTTTCTCGCGGGTTTCAACTCTAATTTTGGGACTTACCTTAAGGCAGCATCATCAGTTTTCATCGGAGTTTGCTTGGTTGCCTTCTCACGTAGTTCACTAATTTCAACCTCAAGCTATAAAAAAACAATTACGAAAAGCGTTCAAAATAAGGTTGAGATGTTCTGAGATTGGTAAGTTTTATGTGTTCACCTTCCTTTTCTTCCCATGGCACTTGCAGGCGCGGATGCTTTACAGGCAACATATGACAAGCTAGGAACTGTATACATCACGGGGTAGATCGGTTGAGTTCTAACCCATGTCTATGTATTGGTGATTGTCTGATCATTTTCCCGGTTACTAAAGGAGTCAGGTACTGTTTTACACAATACAATAACAAATACATACTTTATTGCACTTGAGTTTCTCCCTACTTGCTTGCTCTGCCTTCTGGTTTAACTCAAGCTATAGGAAAAAAAGCAAAGTCAAAAAAATTTCTTGGGTTCTTCAAGTCCATCGTGTGATACATACACTTTACTTTCACAGTGGTGCAGATGATGATCAGTTAAACAGAGAAAACGTTAGTCGTAAGTTACGTAGAAACATCCGCAAATCCTTTCAACTTTTAACTACAATGGAAACACATCACCAGAAGTGTAAAACAACAAATTTACATGTACTCACCTCCAGAGTTTCTATGTGTTCGTGGTACGTTTTGAGACGAGCTTCAGCCTGTTAAGACGAGAGAATTTACGCAGTCAGCTTAAAAGTACAACGATAGAATTCCAATCACTCAAACCCTAACAACTCAGGTATCCATAAGTTCCAGTGTGCTCATGAAGCTCAAACTCCAATATCTTGTCATGTAAGGTACAGAACCAAGGATACATGTATATGCTCTGTTACATGTACTTAGCAACCTTGTCTTAAAGTAGGATGCCAGTGGTACAGCAGGGGTTTCATTAAGGGCCGGGCACCGCGCAAATCGACCAGCTGTGAGGATGACTTTGCCTGCCTCGTTTGACCATCTGGCCCCAACTGTTCGAAGGCTAGATAACGCTATCCACCGGATAAATCGCTATCCAATGGATAAGCGTTAACAAAACAAACCACGCTATCCGCTGGATAGTGGTTTATCCGTTGGATAGCGTTATCCACCTTTCGAACAACCAGAAAAAAGGTTCAATGCAAAAATGTTTTGCCTGCCTGTGAAAACCAATTATTTTCCTGCTGAAAACTTTAACGAAGCGCCTGGTAAAGAGTACAACTTGTTGCCCTAAATGATAAATTACCAACCTCTTGTAATCTGGCATGTATCTGAGGATCATAGTTTGATGAGAAACTGTTGTCATAAGTATCAAGAATTCTGCGGCAACCATCACGTTCCTGATAAAACAAATTAATAATGACAAACATTCAGTGAACATAAAAGAAACATTCCCTTCACCTGTCACAATTTTGATCAACTTGAAAAACGTCTTGAAAAAAAATTCTTTGATTTCACAAATAGCTATTCAGTTACACTCCAAACTACAAACATGACTGAGATACATGTAACATCTGACTTACAGCTGTGACAAGAAACAAGCGTCTTTGAAGTCTTTGATTCAGTTCTTTTTGACGATCATTGGTCTCCTGTGTTGGAAGAAATTACCAAGTTGAGTTACTGACAGTTCGTCACTGTGAAAACGTAATAAATTAACTGACATCAGAGGCATGTAATGTATACAGCAGGCTATGTCGCACTCCAGCCCTTTGCTAGTCAACAATGTCAGCCAATGTGTCTGCTTTGGTTTGGCATTTGCCAAGTTCTAAAATTAGTCTAGTCAAATTCTTGATTGGCTGTTCAAGGTAAAATGTCATACATTCTAGAAATTCAAAACATGACACATATAGAATCACCTCTTCAACATTGTACTCTACATCAATGAAATGGTTAGCATGTTGGACTCTGTATCAAGTGGTCCGGGTTTGAGCCCTGGCCGGGGGTCATTGTGTTGTGTTCTTGGGCAAGACACTACTCTCAAAGTGCCTCTCTCCACCCAGGGGTATGAATGGTTACTGGTGAATTTAATGCTGTGGGGTAATCCTGTGCTGGACTAGCATTTCATCCAGGGTGGGGAGTGGGGAGTAGAAATGCACCTACAAGCTTACTGCTATGAAAACTAACTAAGCTCTTTATTAACATTTGATGTTGAAAGAGCTGTTAACCAGAGTTTACTTTAGATGGTAAAGATCTATAGTTACCTTCAGTTCAACTAACTCCTTTTTCACTGCAGCTAGCTCTTGGGAAGCTCTTTGGTATGCCGTTTCATGAATCTGTACACTGAAAAACCACAACAACAACATGAGTAACAAAAAAACAGAAGAATGCAAATAGCATTTACTGTCTGAGAATATGAAAAAGAGCTATTTACTATCATATTTGAATTACAACATACAGTAGCTAGGAAAGAAATGCTATGAAACTCAGTATATCATAAACCAAAAGATGCATGCTCATGGTGCGTGCAAGAACTACACTTTGCTAGCATATTTTTTTTTCCATTGGTAATGTTATGAAAATTGAGTCATGCTATTGGCTGTGGATCACTGAGTTATGATGCATTTGGAAAGTTCAGAGAGCACACAAGAAACTAGAGTTGCTCTCAGCTGCATCTCGAGCAACTGTTGCACTTTTTTGTTTTCTTCAACTTCCCATGTGCATCATGACTTGATGATGCACAATAAAGCATGAATCGATTGTGAAGTTCTTTGACATCTGAATACTATTAATAATCAATTGAAAGGCCCAGTGGGAAAAGGGCATTGGGTATTTTTGGTCTTAGTTAAATCAACATCTTTGCAGTCATGTGACAAGAAAGCAACATTTCACTGTTTCTTAAGTGAAAAAAACAGTAACCTCTTCCAGGTGTTCAGTTAGTTGGGGAACAGTGCGAAAAACAGCAAGCAAAAAAATAGGGGAGAAGCAGGGTGAGAAAAAGAGAAAGTTACACCCCAACTAACTCAGTGCCTGGAAGAGGGTAAAAACATCTTTGTGGTTGCATGCTGATGTGACAACAACTATGCATTTTTTTACACATGTTATATCTTGAAAATGAAGCAAATTTCAGCAAAGAAAAACAAACAAACAAAAAAACAGGACATTGTTTAACAGGCCTAAACAAAACCGCCTGCAAAATTTGTAGTGTTTTGGACAAAGTTCACTTTTGACCAAAAATACCCAATTCCCTTTTTCCACCAGGCCTTTCATATAAATCGAGCTAAGCCTTTGTTCAGCGATAAACTGAGCCGAGCCTTTGTTATAAGTCAATAACAAAGGCTTGCTTACATGCAGATTTATCATAACAAAGGCTTGGCTCGGTTTATCATAACAAAGGCCTTGCTCAGTTTATAATAATCCTTACCTAGATTTCAGTTCACTCTGTGTCTCTAACAACACAACTTGGCTCTTTTGAAGGTTTGTAATGTCTTTTGCAAGCTGGGCTGGGGACCTGTTGGGAGAAAGATGGACTCATTTGTTTCCTACACACAAAACGTTAAATCTTCTTACAAGTTGCCATAAAAAACAATCATTAATACCGGCAATATACGAGTTCTGTATTTATCACTGGAGGTAAGAGATTTGTTTCACAGACCTTAGTCTCTTTGTCCCTGACATATCTTCAGTTTCCCACTTTTGGATTTTCTTTCTTACCTCCTGAAATTCAACATTTAGATAAATATATATATAAAAATAGTTAAAATCATGTAAAAGTAAACACAATAATTTATTCTGATAACTTAAAAGACATGGTTCCTATGATGATGACAGATGTATTTAAACCTTTAATTAGTTACACCTACATGTGCTAACCATCGGAACTCCAATACAGCTTCGGTTAAGTTTTTATTTTATACTCTAGATACCATTCCACAAAGAATGTTTTGAATGTGAGGTATTTGGCGAGCTGGTGAGAGTGCTCGCCTCCCACCAATGTGAGCAAGTTTTGAAATTATTTATTGATAGTAAATTATTATCTGTTATACTGTAGATCAAATAATTACATTATTATCAACATTTGTAATTATGTTATTGACACTTAATAATAGCGCTGTACTTTGAATTTAATAATGGAAATAAAAATGTGGAAAAAAAAGTTTTGAATCTTCACTTAGACATAGCATCACATGTGGTTCTATTTCTTGCTCTTTGAGCTTTTCTCAGTGTTCTCTGATTTATCTCCTACAAAAACAAACACTTCTGAATTCCAGTTCGAAGTTTGATCAGTTTTAAAAAGTACACTGTAAGTAACTTGCATGTGTCTCATGTGACATGGGAGAATACCATTTGAGTAGTACTTTATGTGCCTGCTCACAGACCTCATTTTCAATCTCCACTCTTGTCAATTCCGTAATCCGTTGATCTGCCCTCTGGAGTTTGTTTTGTAAACTTTCTGCTTTTTCTTTCAACAAAAGATTGCTTTCATTTGTTTCCCTAAAAAACAGGTCATATTTATTATCAAATTTATTAAAGAAAACGGTGAGAAAATTTGCACAACACTATTAAACTAGCCAATGATTAATTCATTTTCATTTTCATTCATTCTGTTTATTTTGCCTTTTCACTTAATATACAATATTTATAAATATTTAAATGTGAGGCGAGGTGACTTCTCGAAACCATCAGGCTTTTAGCTGAGGCCACCTCGTACATAACAGTACGGTTACATAAATAGTGCAACAGTTTGCGGCTTTGCCACTTCAGTAATCATTTTACTAAAAATCTTGCAGTTTTTTCTTAAAATTGGGAAAACTTGACAATGAAGTGATCGTAACAGGAAGGGAATTCCAGATTAAGATATATAACAAGTAATACTCTCTCAGACTGGATTCCACTATGCTGCAGTTAGGTTTTTCAAAGCAGGTGTTGGTAAAGTCTGCATACATGCCAAGTGGCCAGTGTTTATCTGCGGTTTCAGTAGCATGAAGTGACTAGGAGTATTTCTACTCCCTCCATGGGGTTACCCTCCAGAATTAAATTTGCAGGTACCCATTTATAAAGCTGGGTTGAGAGAGGAACTATGAGAGAAGTGTCTTGCCCAAGAACACAACACAATCCCCGGCCAGGGCTCAAACCCAGACCACTCGATCCGGAGGTGAGCACACTAACCATGAGGTCACCGCACCTCCACACTGTACAGTAGGTCTTGGCGAAGTGTTAATTTAACATACTACTTGTTATTGTGTACAAAGTGAAGCAACTGGGTTCCTTCTTTTTTCTTTCTTGTCTGTTGAAGTCATGTCACCTTGCATTTTGTGATGCATTCTTGTCATCGCTAATTCCTGTGTTAGTGGCCATAACATTTCATTCAAAGAAAAAAACACAATTTAATGACTTTATTGAGCAGGACTGACTTCTGTTGTCAAAAAATGACAAATTGGTACCAAAAGAGATTTGTTAAAGGAATAACATGCAAAATTACTGAAAGATTTAATACTCTAAGTTTCAGAGTCATCATAATGCCAAACTGACTCAATTTGTGCTTAAGTGTTTGTTAAGTATGTTAATTTTCACCTCTAGCCCACTTACATGTAAATGTTCACTTTCTTATACTTATTTTCTCTTGATAATGGCATCACAATGACTTTGAAAGGCCAAGTATTAAATCTTTCAGTAACGTGGTGCCACTTACCTATAATAGTGATTTTCTTCTTTCAACTTTTCATTTTCTTTTTCTAATTCTCTGTACTTTGTAAGCTGTGTTTGCATCACCATAGCAACTCCTGTGGCTTCATCTTGACGGGACAACTTTTGCTCCAGTTCCTAAGTTGCGAGAAACAAATGGCACAAGTGTTTAATAACTAAAGGAAGTTAGCACAGACATACATATGCACATATTTGCATCCAAAACAAATGAATGCATGCAGCTACAGCCAAAAACCTACATGCACAGTCTGCATTTTTCATACACCTTGTCATGGCAAAGTGCTCATAAACTTAAACCAAACCTAAAGAACTTTCCACTGGCAGAGAGGGAAAGATGCATGAGAATGCATGCTAACTGGACTGAGTACAAGTAATTTTGAACAAGTTTTGTTTCTGTGTTGGCCACTATAGTTTGAAGTGGAAATTATTTGGGTTTTTTGGCTAGTTTTACTCAGTTTTTCATCTTAAGCTGGTTGTGGTTTCAAGCCTCAGTAATTCTTTAAATTAACTATCATAGTTTTGGCTTGTTTTCTTTTTTCTTCATATCATCAGTTTGTACAATCTGCATTCAGTTTCTACTTTGTCAGCATGGTCATCTGAAGTTAAAGATTCATGAATCAAATCAATTAAGAGCTTACATGCAATTCATAACTGCAAACAATTGAAACTTTCATTTCCTCATTAACACTCATGGTCAAAATAAACAATATACTGCAAACTTACTTTGACCCTGTGTTCAGCTGTTCTTGATCGTTCTCTGAGCTGTTCTAGCTCTGGTAGCTGAATCATTACCTCACTAAGTCTCCTGCAAATACATGTAATAAATTATTTAACAAAGAATTTGAGAAAGATTTGTGATAATTGACTGCATGCAGATTTGATCTCTGTTACCTTTTGACATTTTCAAGTTGACTCTCTGTATCCCCTAGTTTATTTTGGACCACAGCCATCTCAGTTCCCTGTCTGCAGGAAAAAAAAAATTTCAGCTATCTCTCTTTGAATTGATATCAAATTTAATGACAAGTTTATTTAGCAGTAAGCAAGATTTCACTTCTCAAGCCTTTGCACTGTATGCACAATGAAATATCTACCAATCTTGCAGCATTTTATTGACAGTTTGTTGGTTTGTTGAACCCACACCATTGGGAGCAGGCCAATTTAGTGTAGAATGGGAATGAAAAGTGAGAAGACAAAAGGAAAGAAAACAAGGCATTGAGGTAAGTCAATTTTATTGCCAAAGTATCACAATTTCAGCTATAATGCCGATTACCATTTTTCTCCATACAAACCTTTATAAATTCAAACCATTGTAACACAACACCTCCATATGCTGCAAGGTGGGAGTCACGTTTCATGTATTCAAACTCAGACGTTATGTAATTATTACAGTATACGTTCGCTGTTCAGATGTAACATTTCGCTGAACTTTTGCATAAAAGTAAAAAAAAAAGATAAAAAAAAGTAATAAGTACTCGCATTGTGAGCTTGGGCTGCCTGTAGTAAACCTAGGAGTTTGAATACATCATCACCTGAATAAAGCACTCTTCAACTCCATTTGTTTTTTACTTGAATCCTCTTGCAACTACAACAAAACACAAGTGGTCAGTAGTTACTTTACTTGTTTACTTGAAGATAATCAATTCAATATTGATCCAAGTAAAAAACTGAATGACCATTGTTCAAAAAGTTTCAAACCTCAAAAAAGTCTCATTTCATTTTCTAACAGACAATTTGCTGCTGATGAACTTTTAAAGTACATTTGTCAAGAATGCATGATCTGTGCTCACTGGTTTTTTGGTGTTACATGTAACTCTACACAATGTACTTTTAATGGATTTGTAAAATAAGGCCTCCCAAAATATCAGCTTGGTAAAAGCCATATGAAAATAAGCCACAACCTGCATCTTTCAGTCCCTGATTATATGCAAAATTGTCTCCAATTTAACTGCCCCCCACCTTGAAAATAACACACCTTGCAAAATTTTTTTACTAATGAAAACTGAGTGAAGTCAATTTCTTCACCCATAAGTTAGCTTGCATACACTAGATTTTATAAGATATGAAATTAGAGAGGTCTACAAATGTAAAGTCACTCTAACAATACTGTATAGCTCCCAAAATAATCCCAACCTCAATATGATCACCAGCCACAAAATGATCCCCACATTGAATAAGAACCAATCCCTAACCCACATGATCATCAAATTTGTTCAACTTGAATCAGGAAATATCCCCAAGAACTTTGAGAAATGGATTGGTGTGCATGGATCTTGAAATCACTTCAAACAGAGTTCTATGAAGTGTAACTAAATTATTAAACAGTCTTTGAAAAATTAAGCACAATCAGAAGATAACTTGCTTTGATTTTTAGTCCAATTGCCATATTTATCTGGAAACATGTTGGTTTCAGTTTGTTAAAAAATAGAGATCACCTAGGGTCAATATTTTTTTGGAGCTGCTCAGAATTTATTCTAAAAGCAGGTTGCATTGAAGACAATAGGATATATGTCTACTCCTCTTTCTAGAAATGATTGTGTACATATACATGTATGAAGTGTAGCATAAGCAAGCTAACTTGTGAGCAAAGCTACCAACATTTAATCTGAGGGATAAAAGTTGTTGAAAACTAACCGTTTTGCATCCAATCTAGTTTGCATCCACCAAGTTTACATCCCTGTACTCATTTTAATTAAGCTTTCTATTTCAAGTTCGCCTCCACCTTTTTCGAGTTAGCTCCGAGGTCAGTGGATTAAAGAATGAGAAATGAACATGTTTTGTGTGATTTTGTTTCATTACACCCAGTAATCTGGGGTGAACTTGATAGCTAGTTGAGTCGATGTGGGTGCGAACTCGGTGGGTGCTTGGGTGCTTGGGTGCAAAACCTCCGACTAAAGTGTACCAAGTTGTTTTTTTCCTCACATGCATGTCATCTTGTTTTCAGTTTTCCATACCTTTGCCAGTCATTGGCCACTTTACTTTGACTAACTCTTCCTAACAAAGATAGGGAAAACTGTAGAAAAAATACCTGGACTAGTCTATAATTTTGCAAGATCTCCCAGAAAGCAACACTAGATCACGCGCTCTACAAACCTCATCTCTTTCTGCACACACTTTGAGCTTTTCCCTCTGCACGTTCTGTATTCTTTGTTCTGATTTGTTGCGGTAAGTTTCATACTCCTTTTTGAGTTCTTTCAACTGATCTTTGGCATTCTTCTCCTGCTCTGCGAGGTATTGAAAGTTTTGCTGCAAGTCTTCGTATTTCTCTTCTAGTCTTCGAAGTCCAAGTTTGTCGTTTCCAGAGTCCTTTTCAAATTCTATTCTAGCGCGTTTTCTGTCCGATTCCAGTGAATTCACTGTATTTTCTAACTGCGCAATTCTGCTTCGGCTCTTGATAAGCGCCACATCCTTTTCGCGCTCCTTAGATAGAAGACTTCCCTGGCTTCGTGTTTTACTAAGAGTCCTTGTGGATTTTGAAGACGGCCATTTGCTCTGTGAGTTTGCCTGTAAGTCGCTTGATGATTCTTCGTATGTCAAGCGGCTTTTAGGGTCACTAGACAAAAACTGATCGAATTCGCCCATGATTCTTACAACAGCAGTGCTGTCATCGGGAGTTCTGAGTATATTCATCTCCTAAAGAGCTTTCTACTATTACAAATAGTACTACGGAAAGCGGAAAGCGACAAAGTCAACCGACGACCGCCATTTTGAGATACTCAACGCTCGAACAGAACACTGGGACGACAGGAAAAAGTTAGCCAATCAGAATAGCCGGTTCTGACGCCTGGGTAAGAGATTGCTAATACACGAGTAAGGCATGGGTATTAGTTAATACCGCGAATCAACAAGACATGCAGAGCGAAAAACTTTCAGTGGAAACCGATTCAAAAATAGCTGAAAATGTCATCTAAACTAGTCCGAAAAGGTTTAGATCTAGTGAATAGTGAAGGAGGTTCACGACCTCACAAACGGAAGTCAACACAGAAAGAGAAACAACCCTCTAAAGAGCGAAAACGAACCTCAAAGCCAAACAGGCAACAAACACGTGGAGTACAAGGATTGCGATTATCATCAGGTACTCACAAGCTTAAGGCAGCTTTAGAACTCACAGGTTAAATGGCGAGAGGGTAAAATATTGTTTATAACTCGTTTAAATAACAGAAATAGTAGAACTCAAGTGTGTGGCGACTTTGTAGTATTGAATCAGTCTGTGCGGCATGCGTTTATCAACATCATAAGCATCTTCCAAGTGAACATCATCTTGATTTCATATCCAGAGCACAATCTTGGAAGACTATCAAGTCTACCAAGAGGACCCACGCTGACTGACGCCCACCCCTTCGGCAGACTTGTTACTCTTCCCAAGTTGCACTCACCATGTGACGTCAAGATGATGGCAGTTTGAAGTATGTATACAGATTAAATGAATACATGGAAAAGTAAGGAGACAGTAATTAACAGGCTATCAGACAAGAAACTTCTATGGCTAAAGTTAGTATGTCGATGGTAAGACAGGGTACCCCCAGGGGGTACTCTGTAAATCTGGGTGGGGGTGTGCCTCTGGGATACTGAAGCCCTTACCCCATACATGGCCATGATTAACTTGATTTTGCAACCCTATCTCAGACTAGCTATTTTCCATGCAGAAACTTTATCACTATTGTAGTCCAACATCCTCTAACTAAACCAATATCTTACAAAGTCACTTCTAAGTTTCATTTTTTATGATAGAACCTCAGATAAAAAAACATGCTTTAGACTAAATTATTTATACCCTGGCCACTTTCCCAGTAATTAATATTATACCGTATTCTAACAGGGCCAGATCCAGGATTTTTCTTAGGAGGGGTGCTCATGTTTTACTTCAACACCAATAAACCACGTAGTTTTTTTTGCAGAATACTAGTTATGTCATACTAGAAAGCCTTATCGCCCTTACACGCAACAGAGCGCGAAGGAGATAGGTGAGGTATATTAGAAAGCTGCATGTCATCTCGTGGGGGTGGGGGGGGGGGGATGTGCATGCCCTGCACCCTCCCCCGAGATCTGCCCCTGTCTAGGCCAAACCTGTCTGATTTCTATAACCTATCCCAACTAAACTACCTGAAAACCATACCCTTCACATCAGCACATACCTATATAGCTTAACTATGGGAGTACTCCCACCCCCAGATCTTAGTGTACAGACTTAAATTGCACAGTTTAACACACAGCATGGAATTTGCACCATACAAGTCAACCAACTGTATCAAGTGTAAGCTGGTCCTGGATAACAATAGGTGTGATTATTATATGGCTACTAAGCTCCATGAGTGGGCAAGATGAAACAAATTCTGTGCTGTGATTGGCTACCTGAGCAGGCAAGATGGAGCTATCTTACCCGCTTGGGATTATCCGCTGTGTCCCGCAAGTAAATAGTGTTTTTTTTCCATATAATAAAATCTTTTATTGGCAGACAAGGCTTGTTTGGTCAAGATGGCTAGATATTGGCCTCATTCTTTTTTTTATTTTATTTCTTTTTTTTTTTTTTTCTTTTGCGTATTTATGCATGTCGTCTGTGTCTCGGTCCATGAACATTGAGGAAAAAAATCTTGGCCAATATCCAGCCATCTTGACTTCACGCTTAGTCAATAACCAGCATATGTTGTTCTTAAGCACCTGTCTTTTCATGCTGTCTTTTCATGCTCTCAAGGAAAATTTACATTCATAGTTTACTCCTGCAGCTTATGGACAAGATACTTTCTAATCAATGAATTTGTAACTTATAAAAGAGGTGCTCATTCCTGACTGGATACATTTGCAGGCCAGACAAAGAAAACACAACAAGCTGACTTCACTGAACAGAATTTGGAATACTTCAAGAAAGCCACATGGAAGATTAAGAAAGACACTTATGACAAAGTAAAATCATGTTTTGACATTTTATTATCAATCTTATTGTTAATATATCTGGCATTGCCATCAAAGTCATAGAAGTAGAGTCCTATTTATATGACAATAAAATAAAACAGCAATGAGAATAGAAAATAGAAATTAGTTTTTTTCACTTGTCAACAGTTGCAAGAAAATTGCTAGAACCCTACAGAAAATCAGCAACTGCACAACTCCATATTTCATCAGAGTTACAATACGTTATCTTGCAAAGAAAACTTGGTTAATTTTTATGCAGTGTAAATTTAATGTTTAAATGATCGGTGAACTGGATTTCAATGCTTATGTTATGACTGTGATAGTTTGAAAACTGCAGTATATAACAATAATTTATATTCAGTGTGCAGTTCTTGAAATTCATTGATGATGTTTCTTCTGTTGTTTGTCAAACCCTTTTCTTGCAGATTTTAGAAAGGCAAAACAAGCACCAAAGAAATCAAAACATGGATGAAAAGCGTGAAGAATCAGAACCAGAAGAAATGGGTGGTTTGTTTGATGACTGAGTGAAAAAAAACACTTCGCTAACACGTCTGTTCTAACTTGCTGGTAGAAGATTGCAGC